TTGCCTCAAAAATTGGGAAGAGAAAGACCAATGATTTAGCATATCAATTGAAGGTCAGAGAGGTTCATTATATTGAATAATTTCAATGTACTTAATTTCATAAGAATGACAATAATTAGGGCACTGTTATCAACATTTATATATATATTCTTAGGGCTTTTGGAGGAGTGACAATCCTATGTTGTTAAAAATACTAAAGTTACAAGCAAATAGAATATATAACAGTGTCTTATATGTTTCTTTAAAGCAATTTACTTCACTTTGATGGTTTTGTAGTAAAAGCTAACTAGTGAGGAATTTTATACTTTTACGGTTGGTATTTAAACTTCTTGTAGATTCTCAACCAGATAGAGGTGCAGCTTAAAAACGGTACCTAGATGCTCTATTTCATTTAGTGCTTGGGAAATATCAAGTTTACGATGCTGATATTCATAAAGACTCATCTAGCATTTATAAACTGAATTTAAGATTGAATATTTGAAGTATAGCAGCCTGAGTCAGTAAGTCAATTCTTCAACAAGAACTAATTTCTGCATGGTTTTGTAATACAGAAGTTGGACCACATTGTTTTGGATGAAGTTGATATGTACTGTTTCCAACCTATGCATCACCGGGATTGTTCCCAGGTACATAATTCTTATTTTCCTTTTCATTCTCTCTGTTAATAACTACCTTATGTTCTCTCCCCTGTCAGTTTCATTATTTATTTGTTTGGGCTGGCATGAGTACTTTTCTTGGCCTATGAAATATAAGAATGTTAGCCTTTGAAGTTTTTTGGACGAATGACATACCAGACTACCTGCAGGAGCATTTAGAAGATGACTCGTAATACCTCTATATTGATTTTTCTGTGTATAAAGGTTTATGTGTTCCTGTTTTTTACCCAATATTTCGTATTATAAACGTGAGATGCTGGCAGTTAAATGTTGATGAGATTATAGGTTTGTTACTCCCTCTTATTGGTAAACATATTTATGTTATGAGTTTTTCTTTCTTAAGAATTGACCATGGCCATGGTCATGAACATGGCCATGGCCTCGTAATTTTTAAGTATACCTCAAAATTTAGGATCTTTAAGGCACCTTGTACCATATTAAGGTAATGAGTTTCATGCCTCTGCGAGTATGTTTGATGTGCTTTAGGCTTTTTATTTTCTTCAAGGTAGTCATTTCTTTTGTATGGGGTTTGCACCCCTTGGTATTCTTTTAATAATATTTACTTTTCTCTCTCTAAAAAAAAGGTACGGAGATTAGCTGCAATATATCGTTTGTCTAGTAGCCAGCAAGGTTCTGGAAAGAAAAGGTGATGCGTCTATGCTTTGGTTTCTGGTACAAGGGTGATATGATGCTAAGGTTCACTCCTGCCTTTTTGTATTTTTTGTCCAGCTTTGTGGTGGTAGTGCGGTCACAGCATACATGCATGCCATCATCAAAGGATAAAATTCGTCTTGAAAAGGTTATATGATTTTCTTTGATTTAGTGCTGCATAATTTGTTTGCATTCACGGCATTAATATTTTTACTGCTTCACTAACTGTTTATTGGACAATTTCATTACAACCATTATCACACCAAATCAAAACATACTCACTTTGTGAATTTACAGCTGATAGGAGGTGGCAATGAAGATGCTGATTTTTCAGTCACTAAAGGTTCAAATAGAAATACGGCAAGCACAAGCAGAGGCAAGGATAAGAAGATTGCAAAGGGAAGTGGGTTTGGTCAGTTGGAACTCAGACAATCTGCCCAAAGTAAGTCATCAAAGAACTCCGCTAATCAGCAAAACAGTAGGAAAGTAAGTGCAGGAAGACAGAGTGGGAGAAAGGTTTCTTATGCTAATCAACCTGTATCATTTATAGCAAGCGGCGTAATGCACTCTGAAACTGTTGAGCTTGAGACTGTAGACCCTAACGATCCAAATGGAACTTGTGAAAGTAAAGGTGATGTGTATGCAACCTGCAAAAGTAAGGGTATATTTAGCACAGGACAAATTGGTTCATTTGAGGTCCATACTAAAGGTTTTGGGTCGAAAATGATGGCAAAAATGGGATTTGTTGAAGGCGGAGGATTGGGAAAAGATGGTCAAGGAATGGCTCAGCCCATTGAAGTGATTAAACGACCTAAATCACTTGGGTTGGGTGTGAAGTTTCCTGATACTGCTTGTGATGACATGAACTCAGCAAGTGTTGAAACTAAAAGAATTGGAGCATTTGAAAAGTCTATTAAAGATTTTGGTACGAGTCCTGGAACTGAAAGATTTGGAGCTTTTGAAAAGCATACCAAAGGTTTTGGTTCCAAGATGATGGCCAAGATGGGTTTTGTTGAGGGCACGGGCCTAGGTAAAGACTCACAAGGCATAGTGAAGCCATTGGTTGCTGTTTGGCGTCCAAAATCACGAGGATTGGGTGCCAAACACTAGATTTAAGGTTCATTTGAAAAATTAAGAGGTTAGTTGTATAAGTTATTGAAATATATTTCGGGTTAATTTACTGCATCCCTTGTTCCTTATAGTTTAATTGATCATGGTATATCTGCATTGTTAACAATTTACTTGCTATTTTGTAAGTCTCTTGTTTTCTTCACCTTCCCTATTTCTTCTTTCTTGTCTTCATATTGTTGTAGAAGTAAATTTATGATCATTTATTCCAAAAAATTCATTTTTTTTCTTTCATGCCTTCTCCCTGAAAAAAATCCATTTCTAACTGCAAGTTCTTTACATGCATATATACATACATCATATACATGTGGACACATACAAACACTGAAAACGATGGAGGAGATCTTGTGTTCTGTCAGCCAGCATTAAGAATCTTAATAGTTGAGTTCTTTTTCATTTTATATTAGTTATAAGGTTGACATAATACATGTTTTTCATGCTATATACTATCTAATTATTTCTTGGCTTTTGTTGAATTGTGGGAGCTGCAATGGAACTTTTCTGACTGCTACTTTGATAGGAAAAAAGGCTAGAAAATGTTTATAAACGATGGTTATAAACAGTGTTAAACTAACCTCTGTAGTATTGATTTATATAGTGTCTTTTTTCATCCTTTCAAAGGTCAATCAAGGTATTATATTTGATATAAACTTTAAGTTGATCGGTTCTGAATTAAGTTATTCTGGAATTATTGTGTATGTATATATATTTATTGACATTTCTAGGGTGTCAAAGTAGGTTGTTAAATTATGGATTCAACCCACAATTGGTAAAGAGTTCTTGATCAATTGAGTTTGATTCTTGTAAAACTGCATCAGGAGGGGAACAATGTTGGATTCTTGTTCTTGTTGTATCAGGCAGATTTAAGCCATGCCATGAATTATTATTACTTTTCTTGGTAATTCTTTGTTTGAACTTGATAGTGTTGTGTAAAATATACATATACATACATATATGTATATGTATATGTATATGTATATGTTTCGAAGGGTCCATCTATGTAAGTTTGTTATGTTAGGCTGGTCAAAACATGTAAGATGATGATGATGATAAAAAAGTCAAAGTTGGGTGACAAGTCACAGTGGTTTCTTGTATTAGGGTTTGCCAGAATCCACCAAGTTGGCTTCCTAATCTTCTTAATGAAGAAATTACATGTGGGCGGCCTTGAAAATTTCACCACTCCCTACTGGGTTTACTTTGCTGGTTCAAGAAGTACGGCTAGATCTAAGATGGGATGTAGCTTTCTTTGTTTTGTTCAAATAACATTAATATATATATATACATATATATATATTAAAAAGTTTAAGAAGTTAAGACTTCGAGTGTTAAATTAGCTTATGGATGCATGATTAGATTTTTCGATATAGAGCTAATCTCGAGAGGTAAGAGTTGATCGATCGAAAATTAATTTCGATACGTAAAAGTTGGTTTGAAAATATTTTTATTCCTCTAACTTTTTGTAAAGATGTGTCATACGAGAATTTATATTTGTTACTCTAATAATTGAGTACATGATTAACTCGTTGCAAATTTAATTTTCACATATCGAGATTACAGGTAGGGAATAATGTCCCGATTTTTAAATAACTACCATTGTAATTCAAATTTCAATATATCGAATTTATATTTTTTTTACATTAATTATATTAAATTATTATATGTTGATGTGAAAATTATTATATTTTTTTACATTAATAAATTAATTAATATATTAATAAAATTTTAGTAATTAAATTAAATTAAATTAAATTTCACAAATTTATTACTTAGAGCCGGCCCATTGATTATTAGTTGGTTCAAAATTTATGATTAAATATAATCTTAACTAATTTTTTTTTTACTTAGCTATTCGAAGAAGCTAAGAAGGTAAGCAACTGACCTATGACGTACTGCC